GTTCAGAATTGATTTTAAATGAAATCAGGGAGAAAGAGAATGAAGACTTTGAGAAACAACTTCAATCAAAGTTTAACTTTGAAAAAAGCGTCTGTCTGCTGTGTGTGACCTGAGAAAATGAGGTCCGATGTACATGCCTGAGCTGGGAGGCACTTTGTCATGTCTAATTGATGTCATAATAATTTAGCTCATGCAGCAAGTGACAGAACAGCCCACAGGCACTCACTGATTAAAGTAAACATTAGCATACCAGCAACTGACTGAAATTAACATCAAATTCTTCAGTATCCTGACACACTGTTCCCACACAGTGGCTGCAGACACCTGGGTACATTAATTTCAGGTCCACTGAATTCAAAAGCTTCGGCCATGTGGAAAACTGGTGGCTGTTGCCAGAGAACCTACCGGCTCTGTGTCACTATTTGTTGTTTGTCGGCAAGGAGGAGTTGGGTTGAAAGGGAACGGAGGTGCAGCTGCTGCGAAAGGCCTTTTAAAAGTCAGTGAAGTACCACCGGGAAACGAATAATCCTTTTCATCTTGCCTCCTTTTCTCATTTGGCACACATTTTGTCACTTCTCTTCTTTTTCTCTCTCCATCTGCCCTCTTCCTCCTCTTTTCGCTCACTCCTTCATTCTTTCTCTCGGTGGAAAATTTAATGGTTTCCTGGGCTCAGAGCGAGACATTCTTTCACTGTGAACAATAATAACAAGAGTAAGAGCCTCTTCATGTGACTCTCTCACTCCCTCACCAAAGTGGGTAAAACCTGGTATGCTGTCTGTCTGTCTCTGTGCGTGTGTGTATGTGTGTATTCTCTCTAAGTGTGTGTGTACGTGCAAGTGTTTCATGTGTTTAGACCAGGTACTGCAGACTGGTAAAGCAGAGTGGGTGACCGCCTCATTTGTTATCATCAAAGTCTGCTTATTCAGTACTTATGTCAAAGTAACTGACACAGACAAGAGCTCAGGCATGCACACATCTCTGCGAAGAAATGGAAAATCACTATAATGCCACATGGATCTATTACTCTTTGTTCTGTCCAGAATAAAAAAGTGGAACTTTCTAAAACAAAATCTAATGAAACTCTGAGTATCTCTTACAAGCTGCTGAAACTGGATGGTGGAGTTACTGGAGGACAAAGAAACTTTGAGAAAAATAAGTTGAGATCCAGGTCAAGGCAGTTGTTTATGTTTTAGAATTATAATGTATATAGATCATGTCAAGAGGGGAAGTCAACCTCAGGTACTATTAATCTATTACTAAAGAATATAAACTGTGATCTCATCCAGATATAGACCTACTACATGTTTTGATGGTGGCCAGAACATGAGTATGCAGGTTTTTTAATTAAAACAGCCTCAAGATATGTATGAGCACTCCAGTCCCCAGGCATTTTCTGCGTTCGACCACAATCTAACCCAATAAGCTACAAATCTGGTGCATAGCATTTCATGCAAATATGAAGGAGCCAGAGATCTTGGCTTGCTAACACACACAGTCTCAGAGTCAAGGCATGAGGACGGTTAATTCAAATGACTTTTAGCGCCACATGAGAGGCAATGTGAAGAGTGGCAGGAGGGCCAAGACCTTTGGTCTCATTTAGCCTCCAACTGCTTCACCCTCTGCTCTCTACAGCTCAACATCAGAGGGCAAAGGAGGGCCAAAGGACCAGGGACAGTAGCCAGGGGCAGGATGTCACGTCTAACTCTGAATCCACTAGCCAAACCAACAAGGCTCTGTGGGACGCTCCATCCCAGCTATGAGAACAAAGGAGAGGGTCTGACACTGGCCAGGCAGTCCTCTGTTCCTGGCTGGACTCCAAGTCTTATAGGACCCTTTAAGGCTGCTCTACAGGACCATGTCCAGGCTTTGGCACTGCTAAGATGTTTTCAACCCATTGCACATGGCGCAGTTCCCCTGGGCATGCAGAGATGTGACCTGGCAGAAAGGACTTTCTTCCCAACACAAGAATACACAGAGAGTCCACTCTCACACTGGAGCTTTACACAGTCCAATCCTGAACACAAAAGAACAGCTCAGGTGGAGGCTTTAAGTGTTACCTTACTACTAGTTTTAAAAACTCACCACCATGAATTCCCATAAAATGCCTTTCACAATGCCACTGGTATCAGTTACACAAACAATGCAGCTCAATTACTCCTCGAGGAATTAGAGCACTGTATGAACAATTGTGTGAAATTCCCCAGCGAGGAAACTGGTTTTAGATAGTTTTTAGTATCAGTATGGTATTTTAGTTGTGTTAAATAAGGTCCACTAAGCTTTAACTGAAATTCAGGGCATGTCAACATTAATGAAGATTGATGACTTGAGATTTGAATCACACATCTCAAATGAACCACACACACACTTGTGTTTTCAGACTTTTCTCTAAAACTTTTCTGTGCAGATTCAAATGTTTAAACAAAGCATGATAAAATCTTACAATCATGATTTTTTTCAACCATACTTTCTTTATCACAGCGTTTTTTCAAACTGTTCAGTGTTCCCAGGGAATATTTCATGGATGTTAATGATAACAATCAGGCATATTCAAGGGACTGCTATCAATGAGTGTGTGAAACTTGATGCTGCTTGATTGAATTTAAGGGGACTGTTGGGGCTTGGCATAGGTATACAGTCTGAATGCCATTCTTGATATTTAGTATTTTTATATTTATCCAAAAAACTCATGTTTTAGGTGAGAGAAACACCACCTAGAATGCACAGAGGGTCCAAAGAGAAAGGACCTTTTTGTTTTTAAATATGTTCACAGAGTGGATATGGTCTTAGAAAGTGATGGGTACAGAGAGTTCCCATAGAAGTGGCAAGTGGAAATAAGTGGGGGGGGTATATGGATAAAATGGAGAGAGAGGGTAGTGTTGAAGGAGCTTGAGTGGTGTCCAGCAGGGTTCAAGTGTTGGTGTTTTGGTCCTTAAAGAGGCAAGCAGCAGGACTGAGATCGCGATCCAGTAAACCCCCTGCAGAATAACAGTGGAGTTTAGGGGCTCCCCCATTTTAGAGACTTCAACAGTTCCACAGTATGTCTGTGCATTAATGAACTACTCTGCCTAATATGCAAATCAGACAATGGAGTGAGAGACTGTGCATGCGGTGAGAGTGTGTTTGAGCGTGGGTGTGTTTCTGTGGGAGTTTGAGAGCCCAAAGGTGGGAACTGGGCAACCTTCTCACCCTTGTACTGTGTTCCTCCAAAAAGGGAAAAATGGGAAGAAGTGGGGAGGTTGTGAACAAGACACTGCAGTGGCAAACACAAAAACAGATATGGGGGGTTGAGGAGTAACTGCCAGCGCAGGGAGGGGGGGTTAGGTGCTGTGGTAACAGCGTTCTCAGACAAACACTGTGATCAAGATTCAACGCACAGGCGTATAAGCAGAGCAAACACACACACACATTCCATACACAGGCTCCTGAACTGAGAAAATGGGCAGAGCACTATGCAAACGCTAAAACAAGATGTAAATGGAAACAAAGATGTGGCACTTTGCCATATTCCCAACAAGACATCACTCTCCCATGGGCACAAAATAAAAGCTCTGGGAACATCAGAATGAAAAGACAGAGAAATAGATGAATTAGTAAATGAAAGAGAGAAAGGGATGAATGGTTAAGCTTGGTCAATCTTGGCCAAACTATTGGAACTGCTTTCTTCTACTGTCCAGCTAAAGCTATGGATCTTTAAGTGCTGTTTGGTGTGAATGTTTGTGAGTCGTTGCTTCTAGAGGGCATCGAGTACATGTGTGTAAAAAATATACATATCTGTGTATATGAGCTGCACATTTCTTGCTGCTGAGCTGCTGTTACAGGCCTGACCTCCCTCTCAACCTTTAATGTCTTCAGCAGCCCTGTCCTCTCTTCCTTGCTTGTACCTCCCCTCCATCCCTTTTTCCCCTCTCACTCTCTCTGTCTATTCTGGGATTTCCTCCATCAAATGTACTTAATATTTCCCCTTGTATATCTTAAATGTATGTTTATTGAATATGTATGTTTACATTTAACAGCACCACACAACTTTTACTGTATGTTCTTAAAGTAAATAAGCAATCCTTCACACCAATAAGATAACTTACAGTTTTCATGAGGTAAACCTGTGCACATTATTTTAATATATATTGATATTAATCAATATATAATTATATGTATTAGTCTTACTATCTTTGACTACTTTCTGCTACTTAATTTTGTTGCACTCTGGAATGAAAAGAATACTATTCTATTCCATTCTATCTTAATAGAGAGGAAACTATCTCTGACAGTGATCAACACATATCTTGAAATTGACACAGCCTGGCAACATCCTGAGTTGCCAATGGAACAGTTGAACTTCACTGTACTTCCCTGTGTTCCCTGTAACACTAACATATCAATTATTCTACATGTTTTTATTTGTTTATATTTGATAACTCTTATTCCCTTTTTGACTGTTGTCTGATTGTGTGAATGCACAGCCGCATCATCCTGGTGTGCCCATGAAACACTTCACTGTTTTACTGCCTGTCCTGTTACACTGACAGTCCAGAACTGATCATCTCTCATGTACAGAGAGATGCTGTGGAAGTGAAGCTCAGTGTGAAACATTAAAACAAGAAACAGACTGGGCAGAATTATTTGTCTTTTGCAAAATGGGCTTGCACATCAAAATGTTAGTCATAGATCATTGTGACATTTTTGGGGAGCGAGGGACGTTTCAGTGAAATATTATAAACAAAGCATGGAAAAATATATTTAAAAAGTATACACCCATATGAACCAGTTGTCATTAAGGGTTTAAAGAAATAAGAATTTAAAGACAAGAGGACAATAAAATTGGTAGTGATGCCAGCAGGTTTTCTAATGTCCAAGACAAAACAGGTAAAGGTTTAAGTCAGACATATAAAAAATGTGGGTATACAGTTTTTTTCAATTTAATTTGATTTGTGAGATCATATATGGAGATGCTGTTTATACACAGTTAAAAACATGAGAACTGTGTTGCAGACAATTCATACCTTATAACGCATCTTAGGACAGGAGTGTATGTAGAAGCCCAGGTAGTAGAAGGACAGCTTGGGGGACTGTTTCTGCAGCTGCCGAGTGAAAGCAATCTCCCTGTGATGAAATACACAGAAAAATACCTTTTCAGAGGAGGACTGCAAATAAACGCGCATGCTTCAATCTTTCATAAACAGCACATAGACAGACACTTGTCGGTTGGTGTTTATTTCTTGTTATGATGGCTTACTGCAGTGGAGATGCACTGCAGTAAGCTGTGGTTTACAATCAAATCATGCATAATCATGTTTACACTGAAATTACATATTTTTTTATCAACAAAATAAACGACATAATTTTAAAAATACATGATTTAAAGTTTTTGGCAGTTAAAGCAAAATAGTTGTTATAGTGTTTTAGCAGCACAAATATATCCACGTCCAGATGTAGTGAAGGATCATTTAGAATATATTGACGAATAATTTAATTTTGTACGTATAAATGAGAGCATTAAGAAATAAAAACAGGCACTTGCAGCTCTACCTAGAGCAGTGCCCAAGCTGAGGAAGTAAACACCCACTCTCAAAAAGGCAGCTTTTCTTGGTCTCATTTCATTACACAAAAACAACTGCCTTTTCTATCAGCATTGAGTCCTTGGACGGAAAAGAAGGTGGTGAAAAAAGAGGGAGAGAGCGTATTAAATAAAGATTTAGAACTTGGAAGATTTATTCAGCTTCTTCAAATACAGTAAATGTCTTGCTGGCTTTATTTTTCATCAATAGTTTCTTCCTTAATTGCATCCTTTTGGTAAAAGCCTTTTTTTCCCTTTCCCTCCACCATTTCCTTCACTATTCCATAACTAAATTCCAGCTCCTCTTTCTTCTCGCTTTTTGTTTCACTCTTCCTTCCACCCCTCCGTGTTTCACCCGCTCAAATGGAACAGGGAGCATTCCCTTTCTTACAATACTTAGGAGAGAAAGAGAAAAGAGGCCTTAAAATAAAATGGATGCACTGAAAAATAAGACATGGGACAAAGCAGGCCAAGCCAGGGAGGGGGAGAGAGAGGGAGAGAGAGCAGGAGGAGAATATAAAAGAGGAGGGTCAAGAAAGAGAAAGGGAGAGAGAAGAGAGGCAGCTAGAGCGAGGTGCTAGAAGGTCACCCGCTTGCTGCCAGGTTCCTGGGTTCCCATCCCCTCTCCACAAAAGGGCCCGGCAGGCCTGAATTGGGGGAGGGGGGTCAAGAGAGGCGAGGGGCCCATTCACAAAAAGCCCTGCACCCCCACCTTCACTTGAAGCCTTCACACCCCCACCTCCACCCCCATGGCAGCAGCTTGAGTCCACCATTATCCCCTCTTCAGCCATCTGACACTCCAGCACAAGCCAATTATCAAGCCCTCTGCTCCCGCACAGCTTCGCTCATACTGATGTGCATACACATACACACCCAAGCACAAAGGGCCCATAATGGTGCACAACACGAGGTGCTTACTGCAGCCTCGCATGCATGTGGAAACATTTCATTCCCAAACACTACAGGAATAGTGTTGATTAGCTAGATATAAAACACAAAGTGAGCTATAGCAAAGGGAAGCACACAGAGTCTTATTTAACTGAAGGAGATTTGCTGGAAATCCCACAGCATATGTGTGTACCTCATACAAAATACTAGGGATGTCCCAAGTCAGTCTGCAGGATTAAGTTGGGTCCAAATTCAGAACGTTTCGATGGAAAAGTAATGGCAATGCAGAAGCTGATCATTTCCAATCCTTGTCTTTTTGCTCTAGCAAAGTATCTCCACCAGGATCTTTTAAAAACTTGAACCATAAAAAGTTTTGAACAAGTTAAAATCAGATCATCAATATGAAAGCATGCTGCAACGTGTGTACAAGACGGTTTGGGTCTCGTGTTGCACCTGCTATATTTTGCAGGTGCAACACTTCAAAAGTGTTGCTGAAACTGCATTCCTTTCTTCAAGAACTATACACAACATGGGAAACTACACAAAATATCATAATAAATCATTAACGGAAAGAAGTTATGCAGGTTACACTTAATTAAAAAGCTGATGTTTCCCACTATCCAAAATCAAGTTAGTTTTACTTATTTTAATACAGGCTTACTGTATGCTGTGTGCATGTAAAATATACATGTGTATAAAAAATATTGGATTGGATGTCACATCAATAAATACTTAACATTTAAGAATTTAGATCAGTTTAACAGACAGCATAACATAATCAGGAGATCCCCGTAAGAAAGTGATCCAGTTTGGACACCAGCTGTGTTTCCAACACAGAGCCTCAGGCACCTCATTATGTGCCTCTTTTCTTCTCCTCCTCCTACTTTCCTCAGGCCCCAAGCAGCCTTACTCCTGCAAGACATTTCTCAACATCGCCCTCTATTGTTTCTTCTGCTGAATAACATATACACACAGCTCTATACTTGTTTTTGAACTACTACAATGCCTAACATACATATTTAAACCCAACTGTAACATATAAACTCTACCTTGTGTCCCTAATGGCAACTGGAAAACAAATGTTAAATATTAAAGGTCCCACTGAGATCTTTGTGAAAATCCCCCAAACTGGATACAGACATGCATTCTGTATAATGATTTGGATAGCCTCGGCCAAGCCAAGCAGACCAGGGAGTGTCAAGACCTGATCAAAGAACTGGAGTCTTGTGTCTGAAAACACGCTCCTCCTTTCTCCGAGGCCTCCTCCACACGCCGAGTTACACTTGGAGTCAGACTCTTAAAATAATAAGTGATGGGGAACTGTGTGCTTGCAATGGCCAGGGTGTTCCATGAGCACAGCGTAACTGTTTTAACTGCTGGGCTGACTTAGTGCATGACAAACATGCATGACCACTAATACCTGTGCACACCAGGTTTTAAACGGAGATCACTCAGTTGCGCACATCTGTGCAGAGACATCTTTAAAAGCCTTTCTCACATCATTGGGTTTCTTTTTTACAGGAAACACCAGATATGTGAGCCTGCTATGTACGTGTGTTCTCCTATTTCATCTTGGCACAGAGAACTGTCGTCAGCTGAACCACAAACAGACCACTGCCTCAAACAATCAAGTGCAAGGGAAGAAGGTATGTTTCCCAACCTCGAGTACTATGGCACTTATAGTATACAGTTCTAAGGAAAGATAAAGTTTGGGAGGAGCTGAAAAGATCAAGAGTCCGGGGGAGAGTAGGTTATGGGGAGGGCAAATGTGAGGGAATGAGAAGGGAGGAGGAAGAAAAGTAAGAACAAAGAAATTAGAAAATTAGAAAAGAAGGGAGCGATCAACAATGAGAAGCACAGCAGTTTCCCTCCTGAAAGAATCTACAAGTTGCTTCTGACAAATAAGCACTCCAAAGACAGAGTATCATTACAGTGAATGATTCAGATAGTGCTAAGACTTTACTGCCCAATACATCACAATCTGGGTCATCAACAAAAAAACCTGGAAGGGGCTGATGGAAAGAAAGCAACAAAATTATGGTCTTGCTGGGTTCATGAAGGCTTTTGAAACAACAGAAAAAGGGACGATGTGGCTCGTCTGTGTTCGAGAAACCAACCTGAGAGCAGAGTAGGAGCCCAGCGACAGTGAGGCAGAGTCTGGGTGGTAGTACAGGTACACAGAGGACACACAGGTGGGCAAGATATCGATCACCCCCACAGCCACAATGCGTCCGTCCAACCAGTATTGCTGATGGAAGGAGCCGTAGCCAACCTCAGGCCCATCAGGAGAGTACTCTGCCTGGAGAGGCAAAGACAGAAATACAGTAAGAGAAGGTGGTCACTGGTCAACAATAATGGTCCTTTTGTGTGCAATACAGGTTGAATGCAAAACATTAAAATCATAGCAGAACGAGAATGGGTATGCTGTTTTCACTTTCTTGCACAGATCAAATTTCGCCGTCTTATACACACACACCTGTGCGACGGTATATTATAGCCCGGGCTTTTCTCAGCCAGGCCTCACGCTTTATGTGTGGGGGTGTACAGTAGCCTCACGTTCAGCCTGCTAATGGCTCCCAAATGTGGAGCGAGAGCAGGAGCCGGGTGGAGTTGGGGGGCTCATGCAGAGGGGATTGGCCACAAAAACACTCGAGGGGAAGAGTTTTTAATAAAAGACCCTGCATGAGCAAAATCCATTTCACCAGGCGGCGGTGAAGTATTACCAAGCTTTCTCCTATGTGTCTGTCTCCTGTCTCTCCATGTGGCATGAAAGAATGTGGGTGTCAGTGAGCACCCGCATGCTTAAGTCGGCCCCGTTAATAAAACAGTTAAGTGTTTGACACACATTGAGTTTCTCAGATGAATGCACATGCTGGGTTTTTCAATCAAGTGGCTTGAATGCTTTCATCACAGAGGGTTAAGATGGGAGGCTTGGGGTTAGGGTTAAAAGTCATATTAAGCCTGGGTATTGGGTCGTGTTTGCGTGTATGTGTCTGTGTAACTGGATCCTTCTCCTTTGCAAACATTCATCTGGACCCAGTTAAATAGATCAGGTCCTGCTAGTTATCACAACACTGAGTGAGCTAGCTCTGTTACCCAGTATGTACACTGGGCCCATATTCTGACCAAACTAATGCTGATCAAATAGAAAAGAGTCTCTCTCACACACACACACGCAACTCTATGACCCCAGAGAACTGAAAATCAGTTTTGACCGTGTGCCACATTCCCTCTTAGCACCATGTACATTTTTAAGCAGAACTGGTAATAAAAATAAAACAATTTCCCTCAAGCTCAGGCCCTTGGACACCCAGGTGTTATTACCTGTCTGCCACGATGAAAACTAGAGTCCATTTATTTTTTTAATGCATGTGGGTAATTGGGTTGGAAGGGATGATTATACCATCTAAATCAGGGGAGGGCAACATACAGCCTCTTGGCCATTTTCAGCCTGCCAGACAGTTTGATCTGGCCCACGAGGCAAATCATATATACAAAAAAGCAACTCAGAAATACAAAAAATAATTTATGACACCAATTATTTGGTTTTTTTCTGCAATAAAAGAAAAATAACACAGGCAGGCCAGCACGTCCTTCAGGGTGGTCCCTTCCAGCTGTATGCCTCTCAAGTCACAGTCAGCGTGAACGCAACATACAGTATATATAGCTGTCACGAAAATAAAAGCAGATGCGGAAAGTTGCACTTTCCAAGAGAAATGAACAAGCAATTTTTAAATGTAAATGACAGCCCATTGTGCCTTGTTCTCAGGGAAACACTCACAATGACGAAAAAGGCCAATCTCAAAACATGGATGAGCTAAAGAAACTGTGCTTGGATAAAGCTGACACTCTTCAGTGGAGTTCACGTGTGCAACGAACAGCTTTTCGACAGAAACAAAGTAGTGCTGGGACGGTTTTCTCTCTGGCCGGTGATGAAACAACAGACATTACAAGAACTGTCCAACTAACCATTTTTGTGCACGGGATCACTGCCAGGTTTCATACGAGGGAGGAACTGCTTTCTTTGCAAGCACTGCATGCTGTGTCAAGTACAACTGGAGAAAGGTAACACTGTTTTTTCCTACTGTGCAAGAACAAAGGGCTGCTATGACGTCTGAATATGCTGATGAGTTTGCAAAACTCCTTCAGGCATTTGGCAAGAGTTTTCAGGTCACGAAATGTAAACAAAGAATTGTTTAATGTGGAACTATAAGTGTCTGTCAATCTATAAACACTAATTAATTGAGCTGCAGAGGAATGATGAGCTCAAAGCTAAGTGCAAACAGGCTCCTTCTGAAGTTCTATGAACTTTATGTATGACCTGAGGACTTTGAAAGTCTGACTCTGTTTGGGACAAGCTTCTGGTATAAGCAGTTCCTTTCAAAACAGACTCTTGCGAAGCTAGAAAACCAGCTGCCAAAAGCATCACCATCACTACCATCTGACGCCAAAGAGAAGCAGTTCCAACTATCGCAATGAGAGAGATCAGTGTAATATATGGGTTCAATAAAGCAGTATAGTCCTGAAAGCATGGTATCGAATTTTTAATGACCCTTGATAGTTCAAAGGTTCCCCACCTCTGGTCTAAATGGTACTCATATCACAGCACAGCGCAATAACAGCCACAACATTAAAACTGGCATTTCATTTTTACTTAGTCAACCGATGAGGCCATAGAAAATAGTAAAAATGACCAAATAAGGTTTTTAATAAAATATAATTAAAAAAATAATAAAAATGATTCAACTCTTTAAAAACAGCTCACACATACACCAATCTGTTTTTATGCCTATGGATAATTGAGGTATGGTATGAGCGAGAGATGATGTGGGTTTAGCTGTAAGTGACTTGGCTGGCAGACTACAAGGAGGGATGAATCAAGAATCAAAATGAATGGTTATTTTAGGGGTAGGGGTAGCTCTTGAAGGGTGACAGGCACCACATCTGGAGCAATACACTCTATACGTGTGTGTGTGTGTGTGTGTGTGTGTGTGTGTGTGTGTGTGTGTGTGTGTGTGAGGTTAGGGGAAACTGTCAGTCTGTGTAAGCAGGCAGCCTGTTATTTCTTGGCACCAGTCCCCCCAGAAACACTGGAGGCTTTGTCAGAGGCCCCTTGGCGTCATTGAGAAGTTGTAAGTAAAAGGAAAGAGCACAAGGTGATCTGTGCTTCTAAGAGAGGGAGATTTTCCTTACGTACCTAAAGCGTACATGCTTGCTCACAATAATATGAATGCAAATGCTGTTCTAATAAAAGTATTGGCTGAATGAATGAGTATGTTTGATTGTTTAGAAGTTCATACCGTGTTCAAGGCTGATCTTGTCTGAGTGACCCATGCATCACCTCAGACGACAGCCTAATGGTTGTGTCCTTGCCACTGTGACAACAATCTAAACATTCTCTGGAGCACATCAAACCACCCCAGATCTTCCCCTGCAGCCCCAAATCGCTCTCATATGGCCTAAATACAGGGCCATGAGAGTAGAGCGCTTAACTTGACAAAGTGGGGAGGTGATATACGGCATGTTTGTTTCAGCCGGCGCAGAAAGACATTAGTGTAGAATTTAACTGAAGCAGAAATACTCATTCTGTAAAAGGGTCAGAATGAAGTTCCTACTGATGTATTTTCCTTCAGAATCTCTTTAGACACATAGCAAAAACACAAAAACTGGAAGCTCAGTGCTCTGGTATTTCATTGTACTAAATGTGTAAGTGTAATGAAATTTAGATAATGCTACATAAGATAATTATTAATAATGTATATTAACAAACGCTTTTCATATCTAGTTCTAATATAACATATACTTACAAGATTCAATAATTATATTAACTAAATGTTGAACAAACTAATTGCATGTTTTTAGAAATGACTTTATTAGCTTTATTTGCAGTAAAAACACTTCAAAGAACATTACTGTGTGTGGCTGAAAACACAAAATGATTGAATGTCCCGATTTGGACAAAAAGGACAACATTTCATTCGATGTGATGAAAAACCACAAAACATCTGACCAGAGCAGCTGCTTTCAACATCACTTTGGAAGATCAGTCTGGACAGAGGTTTGGCTTGTGCCTCAGAGAGTTTCGATGCGGCAGATATTAGTTGAAGAATAGATTTTTGGATAAAGCTATGAGTAGATCCCATTTCATAACAACAATCAGTGAATCACACTATATCTTTTGGGGTTTGGCATGGTTTTAATTCCAATTGATTTTAATTTCATTTGATTTTTATATATATTTATTTGTACTTTTCGGGATATTTTTCTATTAATTTCAATCATGGATTTATTTATGAAGCATTTTAATTAGCATATTATTTTGAAATACTGTTGAAACCCTCAGCGTTCCATCGCTTATCGTGAAAACTTGATTCAAGGGGCTTGCCTCTTACTAGATTTCTAGAAGGCTGAATATATAGAATGTGAGTTTTAACCTGTTACCAAACTGTGAATGTGCCACACAGAGTTGTTAGGTGTAGCTCTAACTGGTGCAGCAATTATGCTTTTATGATTCTGGTAATGACAGACAAATAATATACTTTCAGCATTCTCCTCATTTAACTCACCTCAACAAACTCAAATACACACAGAACAAGACCTTGAAGCAGGCTGCATGTGTAGCTCACATCATGAGCACCTTGTATTAATACTATATTGAAATACTTATTTCTCCCATGAATTTAAGGTCAAAGTAATACATATTTTAGTATTTGGCTCCTTTGCTGAAGTCTCCTGCTGTTTGACTCTAGATGCAGCTGGTACACTTTTCTGTTTTTGGCTTACAGATGAGACATGTACAGTGGGGTGTGTGTTATGGTATGGCAGCTGGATTCTCTACTGAGGTGTATCTCTGTTACTGCACAAACTGAAAATTATCTTCATCTTCCTGTGTGAGGGAAAGAGAGGACAAAACATAGGTGGATAGAGAGAGTTTCAGAGAATTGGCCTGGGAAAAAAAAAAGGTGACTAGCTGGTGAACACCCTGTTAATGAGTGTTTGCCCCTTGGTTTGACACATTACAAGGCTGTAAAGAAAAATAAATAGAAACAGAATGAGTGCATAAACCCCACACAGCCCATAAAACCCACAGTTTCTTGACCTCACCAAGGTCAAGTGCACTGAGAGGCACCTGCATGACTGCTGCTCATCATGTTTGCAGGCAATGTTGCGCCACTGTTTATCAGACAGTACAGCTGTGTTTTACTTGTCTACTTGTTTATGTAAATGTAAAAAAAAAAAAGAATAATTATTGAGAGCTGATTTGAATTATCTCTGAGTTTCAGCATGAATCCTCAGCAATTTTCGTAAAACCGAGCACAGCAACAAACAAGCAAGTTGGACAACCTGGGCCCTAATTAGCTGCAGTTGAATTGGAGAGTATGCCGTTTGCGTACATTTGTATAAATAGAGGCTTACATGTGATCCGATGAACCACACAGTATGCAGTACACCATGTGGTGAGTGTCTGTGTATTTTAATAGCAGTCAGATTGGAGACAGATGGAGGCCAACACGCAGAGGTAGCTCAGAAAGCCACGCATGAGATGGAGAGCGTTTGGAGGGGGCTGAGAGAGAGAGGGATCAGAGAAAGAAAGAAAACTAAGTTGGGAGAGAGAGCAGGCCAAAGAAATGAAGACGTCCCCCTGAACCAGTCTGAAAGGAGGGGACAGAGGAATCATTAAGATATGAGGCGGCGTGCCACTGTACGTGTGCACACATGTGTGTATGTGTGCAGACCTGTGTAATTCGCCGTGCCTGGACGCCAGCCTTGACGAGGTGATAAAAGCTTGTTTCCTATAAACACTAATGATGTTCATTAGTGAGGGCCTGAGGAGGCCCACGGGGCAGCACGGAGTGACTGTGTCTGTGTGTCTCTGTGTCAGTCCGTCTGTGTGCGCTCCTGGACCTCAATCCAATTAAAGAGGCTGTTATATGTGCCCATCCTGAGTCTAATTGCTGGTGTAATTGTCCTGACCCAACATGTCCACTAGCGCTTCTGAAGGCAGCAGCTCACCAGGCCTGCTGAGCGCTCAGAGAGGCTTGGCTGCACCTTCACCTCTTTGAAGCCATTTTCAGACATGAACTCCGGAAAATGTCCAGAAAACTGGGTCTGGACATTTTCCTTAGAATGCAGCAGGAGATTGTCCGCAACAACAGGAACATTTCCGGAACATTCAGGCAAGGGGTTGCGCCTGGATATGGCATTCTGCTGCAAAAGCAGTGTTTTTGTTCATTAGCCCATATCACCAAAATATTCTCGCTAGAATCTTTTCATCTTTCCAAGTTGGAATTTTCATCAGCATCTTCTACATGTATGGCACCACTTTTTTATATATTTGTATTCTTCCAGTTAGAAACGTCATAAAATTGCCCACTTGCTCGCTGTGAATTTTCTGTAAAATTTCCTGTTGTAGTCTCACATGGGCTCACTCAGGTTGGCAGGAACCTTCTGGAAAAAGTCTACAGCAACTGACTTGGGCATTTGCATTCTCACATAAAGCCCCTCCAGAAAAGGAAAGCAGCTTCAGTGACCAACGAGAATACCCGCAACCTAACCACAAATCCTCTGTCAGATGCCACAAGCATCCTTCATACTATAACCATACTTTTTTTTAAACTCTGTACATAGAATACCAGAAAGATTGTATAAATGAATGCACTAGAAGCTTATATCACACTTTCCATGGAACCTAAATAATGACTTATTTTTGCCAACTGGGCCAACAGCCATCTGTTAGGTCCCCAAATTGATGTCCACAAAGCTGCCTGATCATCCTGTAATCTGTGCTACACCACACAGTGAAGAGCAGTTGGGTCAGGAAGTGCCAGAGGAAAGGTTGGGTCTGAAGACCACAGACAAAACGCAATCTGGACACCACATTTCACCGTTTTCCTCCATAAACACCCTGTTTCATTTCACCAGAGCTAAATTAAAACCCTTTCAATATGAAACAAAGCCACCTCCCTGAGTCCTTCAATGCCCCCCTCCTCTTTTCCAAATGGAGGAACCTTGAAGAGATAGAGCAAAGGTGCACGGGTAGGTATGTGCAGGACGTGGGGAGCTAGAGTGCGTTTATCCACTTTTGAGTGTGTTTGATGAACAAATTTAAACTGAAACACTGCACATATTTCAAATCATTATCCTCATCTCTGATGGTAATTTCCTCAGGATGACCTTCCCTTTGTTGGGGCAAATCATTACAGGTAACGCATAGAGCTGAAAAGAGACACTTAAGAAGGGGTTTTATTACACTGTCAACAGGCCAAAGGAAATACATACCTCTAGTGGTGAATCACAGAGAAATCTCCGGAACTGTGGAGGGAGAAGGTGGGGAGGGGGACAGAGAGAAAAACAGTTAGTACTCTGGGTCACCAACTTTTTCAGAAAGGCATAAATGAAAACCATACACGTCTCCGTTGCTGTCCTACATAGTTTATCGCTCCCAGTTTTATTCTCACTCAGGTGTCACATATCAAATGCAGCCTCCACATTCACAAAGGGGCATTAGAGGGAAGATTGTATTTACACAAATGAAAACATTTATCCTATCAACTCCAGCTTTCAGTTCAGGGAGGACATAGTGACAGCTTAAATAAGCAGCGTCACTGATGTCAAAATAGCCTATCTCTTAACACACTTTCAAATGCACATCAGATATCAATTACTGGGGGGCTTTGTGTCTGTGGAAACTTAAAAGCTTTCTTCCATTCTGTCTACTATTTCCTGTGCTCCTTCTTTTCTAGCGCCAGGGTTGAGAGCAGTGTGTTTACAGACCAGTTGACCTGTAGGACGGTAGAAAACGTAGCAAGCTTCCACGTTTATGACAAAAAAACTGTTGTAATGAGATCAGGGCTGACATGTGGGCAGTGTCCAGTGGAGCAGTGATGGACAGCTTCGCTCAGTCTCTCTCGCCCTCATGCAGAAGCATCACAATTTCATTGTCTAATGAGCAGAATAGGGGTTTAGCCCCACAAACATAAGCTGGAGAGGTTCCAGACAGGACTACATGTAGGATGTGGGTGTAAATAATGAAAAGAAGGGATGTAAATTATGTAATATGCCCTATACATTAAGAAGTTATATAACAGAATTACTCATTAACCAATGGCTGCGAATAATAATGAGACACATTCTTTCTTCTGACTCCAGCTTGGGTTTGATTTATTAATGGAAATATATTTCACAGACAATAATGATAGCTGATACTTTGAGCAGATTTAATTCAGATTTAGTTTTTTTCTTCCTCCAATATTGTTCTTGTTAGGGTGGGGAAAAAAGCAAGAAACCTAAATTCTTCACTTAAACACATACTACTTATGTTCTTTGAGGTGGGTAAACAGGAAGTACACCACATTCAAATGCAGTTTTACAGACTGACACAGCATAATAATTGATTAAAAGCAAAACATCGTTGACAGCAAATAAATAACAGACTAGTACCTGGTTTGCATTAAAATCTGAGTATCAATATATCAATCCAATCCCACTCTCTCCACTTCCTAAAGAATGTAAGAATAAACCAAAGCCAATGAAAATGGATATGCCAACTAGCTTCTCTGTTACTCATGATTTAATTTCTGTCATGATTGCTTGTGTTTTGAATAGGACTCATCTTTCACAGACTCTCTCAATAAACGCATGAATCCAAGTTTTCCTGTACACGAAGCAGCTCTACGAGTTACTGGAAATTCCCACAAGCGCACCAACATCCTCCTGTTTGTGTGCGAGTGTGTCAGTGCACAGCCAGAAGTGCAGCGAGTAATAGTGATGACTGCTGACGGCATGGTTCACTGGGTGGGACAGTCCTGGCTAAGGTGCAATTCAAAATCCCTGCCAGTAGCCTGAACTCATCCAAAAGAGTGTGTGTTTCTGCATTGGTCTGCTGCAGCTGATGTGTGTCTGTTTGTGTGTGTGTGTGTGTGTGTTTGTTAGTGACACAAGTGTTCTCCAACACCGGGGTTGTTTTGGCAGAGGTGAGCTAAAGAATGATGCACCTTCATCTGTCGTTTCCATTTTACCTTTGCCTGTGACGCAAACACCCAAAAAGTTTCACTGCTTTTTAGACTCAAAAAAGTGACGCAATCCATCCAAACCGAGTTAAGTTACAGTCATTAAAATAAGCAAATCTATAAAATATAAAGTTTGGTAAAAGAATTATAAAAACAATGTTCTTGTTGTATGATAAACACTGCAACAAGATGCAAAACACTGACATTACCCTTGATTTAACTAGAGCACGACTGATACAGATTTCTGGGGGCAGATGCTGATAATGCTGAGTAAATAATTTTGGAAACCTATGTACAGTATATATATCAATACATATGTATAAAGTAATAAATATGGGGCAATGACTTCTAACATGTCGTTTTTGAACCTTCATGACCAAGAAATGTAAATAAAGCAGAATATCAGTATAGGATCTAGGATTTTTCTAAATAAGAGTCCAAAGAGGGACCACAATTTAAGCAAAGTGGCCAATTTAATGTCTAACATCCATGCTCAATTCTTGATGTGTCAAATTGTTAATTTAGTGGGTGGTGCAAATATATTTATACATAATATTCAGTGCTAAGATAATAAAATTCTATTCACCTGATAAAGAGAAAGGGATTTTGCACAATGTTCAAGCTTTGGCTGATCAATATGGAACTTACGTCTGTTTAGTCGACAATTATCTTGGCTTGAACCAAAAGAAAAATCGTGATCAAGTTCTCCACCTGTGTTACTCTGCCAGTAAAGTGTAATTTTCCACTCCAGTTCTACAGTGACTACTACTTTTACCAGTCAACAAATTACCAACAGCAAAGCCTCCCAGTGTGCAAAATAGCTGAGGGGTACAAATGAAACTTTTGTTTTAAAACTCATTAAAAGAAAAAGAAAATTAAATGGTTTACCCACAGAACAACAGCTGCAGTTATTAGATGACATCATTTATAAGAGTCATGCTTCTACACTGGCTGCTGTGTGTGGAACTGAGTGTCCAGATGACTTGGTAGTAAAATGCCGAGTTATTTAATCAGACAAGTAGACTACAAGTGTGTCAACTTGATGTGAGCTAAGAGGACCTCACTTCTCTTCCATCTTTACCGGGCACTCATTATTGGGGCTTCTGGGTAATCATAACCGGAGAAACAAGTGCACAGCAGCCTTGTTAACCCTGCTTGGCTGGGTGAGGCCGCTCGCCTGGAGCCTGGCAACACTGACCCCAACCTGGTCACGGACAAACAACAGACCACATGGTGCTGCCAGGCTGACACAGGCTGACACAAACACACACAAACACACACACACACACACACACACACACACACACACACACACACACACTCAGACTGACTGAATGTTAGGGTACAGTCGCTCAGGCACAAATACAGTAAGGGTACAATTAAGTAAATACGATCTCAGCTTCCTCTCTTCCGCGAATACAACACATAACGCTCGTTAACAGAGCCATGTCCAGAGCACCTTCTGGAACATTCTCATCACCAACACATGGAGTCCATCACTTCCTCTCTAACTCTCCCTTTCTTATAGTAAACACATCTGTATATAATCAGGAGTGCAAGCAGCCGTCTCACACACACACACATACACACACACACTGTCGTGTCTTCATTCACGCAAATGCGGTACATATAAGCATGCACATCTGCTTAAGTCTAATGGCCACTTAAAACCCCTCGTCACAAATTAAAAAACAATAAAAATAACCCCAATGCAGTTTTTTTTTATCTCTTTGCCAAAGTTCCACTGACAAGATCCTTCAGTGAGTAAAGGCACTTCGGGAACATGGCTGCAAGTAGTGATGATGCAGTGATATTGAATTTTTATTATTGTATTTGAGCACATTGCAAATCATTTTAAGGTTATCTGAACAGATGGTTATTATTTCTCCTTCATTTATTCCAGTTCTACTGATAACTTTTTTTCACGTGTCTTGGTTAAAGCTCTGGCCATTGAGAAGAGTACATACAGATTTAACAGGATTTGTTTTCCTGAAAATGAATGCCACATGTGCAGGAACTCAGAGTCACGGCTCAGCACAACAGTTAAGAACAGTAAGTGTGAGTTAGAGTGTGTGCGTGCATGTGCGTGCCTGTGTGTGTGCACACATATCTAAATAACTACAAGTATGTGCTTCAGCTTTGTCAGGAAACCAGATTTGGATGTGGATGGAATAATATCTGGCTCCCATCCAGTCATTGTATGACAGGAAATGCATATGATCCTTAAACAAATAAAGCCACTTTGCTCCAGGACATCATACTGTCTAATGATAGCACTACTTTGGCAGGTTAATACAACTTGCACAAACACACAATCACTCCGATCGCCTGGCTTCGAGCCAGCCTGATGGTATTCAACACTCTGTCCCGAGGTAACACTTTAATAGATTAATAAATACCTCTACAAAACACAAAATGACCCAACTTCCTAGGTAGCAGCTCAGGCCCAGAATGGCATGGCACCAGAATGTGGCATCATCACATCAACAATGTGTTTCTCATTTCTGTATGAATGCCACAGGACAATGGGAAGCTCAGATCTTCTGGGAAAAGAACAGGGGAGTTAACCAGGGGTTTGACGGGCAAGCAAATAAAATCAGCAGTGTTTTAGTTCTGCGCAGGAGGAGTTGTCACTGTAGTGAGGCCCACTAATGTGAACATTATTCATAGGGTTTCTGCAGGTTTCAACAAGTTAAATTAAAGACTTTTTAAAACCATTATGAAACATTTCAGACCCATCTTAAGCTTGGCAGATATGAAGAATATCAGAGTCCCAGAATGCAATTTCCCGTAACTGAAGATAAGATGAAGTAGCCTAGTCCATAGCGAGCCTAGGGTGTACTCAGCCTAAACTCTCTATAAACTACATTATCTTGCAAACAACATACTAAAGCCCTTTTAAGGTCATAAAAGAATTAAATGGAAATAATTAGTTCTTTTGTGGAAATTAACTGCAGTGGGACAAGACAAACATTGGAGGACAACATGGTCTCTCCTTGTCTCCTTGAATTAATGCGATATATCACAAAAGGCTGTGCTCAACTCTGAGAAATCTCCATAAAGCACAGAATAACCTTTGTACATTTTGTCATGTTAATTAAACCCAGTCAAAATAAATATATAGCGATGCAATTCAGATTCTATTCATCTCTCTAAACCTCTCCCTAAGGTAGCGTGTCCTCACCTGTTAGAGTAATGAACCCAACCTCAACTCACTGTGCTTTTACACAACACTATGGAGTCAGTATCAAACCTGGAAAGTCCATCTATAAAAAAAAAAAAAGTTTACTTTCTGGCAACCCAACAGACAGCAGAGTTGTTTGCAGAGCTCCACACCTTTACTTTTTTTTCTGATGTTATTCCTCTAGTTCTTGAACCCATCCGATCCCGGCACAGCTATAAACTTGAAGCTGTGCACACAAACACACACGAACACACGTTCCCTATTAATAGGGCTAGTGTTATGGCACTAGGAAAGAATCTGCCACAGTCTGCCCAATCTGACAGCTTTTATTATTTATTAATTACCTTACTTTTTACAAGCTGGAGAATTCAGTAATTTACAGAGGCCTGCTGGCAGGAGGGTGGAGGAGGAGGTTGTTTTTCCAGCCCTGAGGGACAAAAGGCCCTCTCAGGTTAGTGAGGATGTCCAGTAATTCTGCACCCTCAAGTCTGGTGCTGTGACTAGACTTTATTTTCTCCCATTGAGATGTGTGTCTATATTATTTAATTTACTGGGTATTATAAATTCATTTTGAAAAATGATGACTCTATTTTACTGGGTTAGTTTTTCTGTTTCCTTTTCCCATTCATTACTGGACAATATGTCTTGTGCACTACATAAACTAGTAAAGTCTGTATTTTATAGGTTTTACAGCTTTCACATTACTCATACACAAGCATAATCATTAACTGTACAGTAAAAACATTTTGATGATTGTAATTATTTCGCTGTACTATTGGACGCTGCAAGATTGAACTTTTAAAAGGGGAATTCTGGTATTTTTAAACCTGGGCCCTATGTTTGTGAATGTGGTTGTGTAAATGAATGGTACTCACAAAAACCTTTGGAATCTGCCCAGTAGATCATCTCCACTGCCAACTGCGACATGACAGCACTGGCTACAATGTAATGTTGTGGGGCAACAGGGTCAGCCCACGAAATGTCCAATGAATTAATTTTTCCACCAATAAAAGGCTGAAATTGTTAGCGACTACATTGTAGTCACTGCAGATGAGTTGCAGTTGATGTTGGAGATGATCCAAAAGTTACAAACCATCAAACCACATTTATAAACATAGGGACCAGGTCAAAAATACCAGAATTCTCCTTTAATGGATTTAAAATATATCTTCGAGAGAAAAAAAAATAGGGAAAACAGCAAATTCTCCTGAGTATGAAGCTGGAACAACATGTACAATAGAGCCCTAAAGTATTTGCGGAATAATAACCATGCAGTACCTGGCTCTCACTACATTCGCTGGGGTCATCACCATGAATGGCCATCTGGTAGCGGGCGTACAGTGCCATCGACTGCTCATAGGATGCTGTGAATTGAGGGTCCTCAAAGTTGACCGGCACTAGCCTCACCTTCAAGCACAGGGTGTGGAGGGAAAGGAGCAATAAGGTGGAGGGAGGTTTTATTATTGTTTGCAATGAATGTGAAGATGGTGAGTAATTAGGAAATGTATTCAATAAAAGAAAGGAGAAGCTTTGAAGGAACAGTGTAGGAGTCAAAATAGAGGGTTTATACAACAGTGTTATACAAGTGCTTTGGCATTTCAGGGTTCACATCAGTCTCCTAGTCCTCAAGGCAAGTCGGTAACACAGTAAGTCTGTTTTGAGTTTGAGACGTGATTTGGAGATTTTATCAGATTGTTGTAGAAATCACACATGAATGCAAGAAAACAATGGGATTGTAGGAGACAGAAAGAGTTTTTAAAACAGCAAAGAGGTCGGGCAACTTGAGGGTGAGGCTAGTGCACTGCCCAGCTTTTACCAGAGATCGCACAGAGACGATTGGGAAGTCGCGATTCAAAACGGTGCGTGTAAGCAACAGAAATCCAGAGTCGTGTGTGAATGGATCGTCTCAGCGAGACACAAACAGACTCTTCCAACACTACAGACTCCTCTCGGGAAGGTAAACAAAGTAAGACAGACTGCACGCACAAGGGAAATTAAATTCTCATCACTACAACCTAAGCCTAAATTGAAATGAGATGCCAGTTGAGACAGAGAGAACTGTATGATGACACGCGGCAAATGTGTGAAGGTCGGGTGGGTTCAGCTGACAAAACTGGCCCCCCAACACGTCAAGACTAACGACCCGACTGGCCGACTGAGGGCCAACTCCAACACCTGGAGAAACACTGCTCCCAACCATGGCGTATGGAAACATTTTCCTCTCCATTTCCTCCCCTTTGACTCACGCTCTTATACACATACTCTCTTTAATACTAACATGTTAATGCATTTTTCTATAATTCATACAGACATTTTGGTTTATGCCCACGAGACCTGATGTCAGAAAGTTTAAGCACCAGTTATTTACTACTTCATATTTTCAATATCTTTGGTACAGTCCTGACGTTTGTTCATTATGGTTAAAAACTTATCTCAGAAAGGAAACAATGTGAATAGCCATTAGATACTTAAAGCACAAAGTTAATAATGATTACTTGTCAATTATTAAAGGATGATTAATCATAAACAGAGGCCCTTTTATAACCACTACTACCTGAGTTATGTTAACAAAAACAAATTCTATCCAACACCAACAATGTAGAAATTATTGAACCAAATTTTAGAACATTATGTTATTCAAAACTTGAAGATTTTTAAATCCTTCTGATGCCCCTGTAGATCTGTAATCAGCCCTCTCCCTCCCTCCCTGTGTGCCCCCTCCAGCCGGTTGACCTACGCCCCCCTCTGACCTGGCTCTCGGAGGGTTTGTCAGGAGGGTCCTTGTGAATGGCCATCTGGTAGAGTTTGTACACCTGGTAGGAGGCGTCGAAAGAGGCTTTGAACTGCGGACTAGGGGGATTGGAGCGCACTAGCCTCACCTTCAAAAAGAATATGTGCAGACAAGGGTTAACATGAAAATGAAAAAAACAAACTGCTGAGAACATCATAAGTGGTGATTAAAAAACCCTGAAGAGGAACACATCACAAATTAAAAAGAGAGAACAAAGAGACAGAACTGTGACACTGACATAAGTACACCCCACTGTAGCTGAGTTTAACCATTTAATAACAAAATGTGAAAACATCCAGTTTGGATGATTTAGTCTGCAAATTGTATTTCTATAATTTCAAATTTAAGCTGTAGGCTGGTGACAGAAATACAGATTGGGGTGTATTATGTCTATTTCCATTGAGACACAGAAAAAAAGAGAATACATGAAAAACATTTCTTGTCAAAGCTCAGAAGAACTTGTGATATTTCTCAAAATGCAGAAATAAACATTAGCCTATTTACTGTAGTTTGTATGGGAGTCCATTTCCAGTGCTTCACCATGTCACCTGAGAATGAAGATTTATCCCTGAGTCTGATCATGGCCAACAGCAACTAGTTAAATTTTTTATGCCGTCACACGTCTATAAGTTAGCAAGAAAATATGCAAGTTCCCAAATAAATGAATCCATAACTCCACACGATGGATGCATAATGAAGTGAGGCTTGCACCACCTAAGATATTAATCAGTCCCATTTGCAACTTTACACAGAGCATTTCTTATTGCTGTCACTGCAGTGCTATGAATCAAGCTCAATGGGGAGGCTCATGAGAAGCCTGAGATAGAGAAGAAAAACAGGCCGAGTGTTGCTAATGACACACAATTTAAAGAAGAATCAAACTTTCTCATCCTGCAGCCCTATTTAATTAACCATCTCTTGGTTTGGAAGCTTTTATTGGCCGCAGAGGCTTTGCCATATGAATCCCCCTGGACAGACAGGATAGAAGAACTGAACCTGAGGTTTGTTTGAGTTGGAGCTAAGTGGGTCTCTCTCATATGACCACTCTGCATCCACATCCTTTAGTCCACCAGAAACGTTAGGCCTCTTACATGAAAAGGACAATGCTCAAGTCTGGATTGGTCTTTTTGATTTTTTTCTAAAGCTAGAGATATATTGACAGGCTGAAATATTTTAGTGAACAAACACTGCGACAGATAAGGGGGCTGCGCATGCAAAATTAAATCTTAATAACTCTCATAACAGTCTAGAATTTAAAACCTGAATTCTGATACTTTGAGAATGAGAGTGTAGTGGCTTTTGTTTGTTTTTAATTAAAATGTAAGATTTGTGTTTTCTCAAAGCTAATTCTTCAAGACCTTCCCTACACCATTGTGAAGTAATACAGAGTAGAATACTAACAGCTAAACTATTCCATGTCAGCAACAGGAGATTTAGGGGAAAATGCTACAATAATATGAGAAGAGAGTGGAGACTGTGGATAACAGTCCTATCCTGAGGAGAAATGTGGTTCCACACTTTCCGCAGGAACCTGAGGGGCTCTGAATGATGTTCTCACACTGACCCCTGGTGGTGGATTTTCAAATCATATCGATTTAGGGCCAAGACACGAAACTATGGTACTATACATAAATCTGAACTTCCCCATCCCTGCAGCATATCTGTTTGCATAGGCATTTAAATGAAATCATAAAAAATGATCTTCTCTGAGGTCACAGATTCCAGATTTTACAGCAATCATGTCAAGAGGAATTTCAAATGAGCACTTTCACAGTGAGCTATGCAGCACCAAAGTTAAGAGCTGCTCAATCACACATTTTCCTCTATATTTCTATATTTTTTTAAATATGTCATATGTATCCTGCGGTGTATTCTCATCAGTCAAGTAGCATGACATGTGTAACAGATGTGTTTATGATGGAACTGAGCTGGACTGCATTTAATTACGGGAGTGTAAACATCTATCCTCTGGTGCTGCTTTAAAAAACATCTTTAAACTTTGTCAACAGTATAAAAAACCCAAGACTCACACACCATCACATAGATTCATTAAACTGCTTTTCATCCAAATTGTCTTTTAGCCACATGTTCTTTTATAAACAGCTGAATGTGTCAAATAGAGGCACCTCTTAATTATTTCACTTTTACAGAATATATAATTAACCTTCATCCACGAGGGATAACCTTCTGTTCATGCCCACTTAGTTAAATTGAACAATAATTGCAGGCAAACAAATTAATCCAATTAAAAAAAGCTGACTGGGAGGAGGTCTCGTCAGTCAGGTCTCGGGGGTTATAGAGACGAGAGACAGACACTGCCTGGTTCATCGCTGCATCTGGCTCAAATCTTGGTCAAGACCAAGGATGACGTTACTCTACCAACCTCAGCTTGAGGCCTGCGCCAGGGATCTTTCTACATTGTTCTGCTCCCTGCCAAAGGTTCATTTCCATGTCCTCTCATACTGGCTGAGCTGGGAGCTGTGGTTTTAATGTCATAAGCAGGGTAACGCGACCCAGTGTGTGCGGTGTGCCTGTCATTTGGTTGAATTCAAAGTGGGAAGGGGTGATTTTTCCACTCTGCTGTGGCCAGCTATCCTCTCTGCACACATAAACACATGGTGAAGTCACTGGGGTGAGGGAAGATGGGCTCAATGAGAGCAGCTTTTGGAGCTAACTGAACCCAAACATTATGGACGCAGAAACTAACAACACTATTTCTTAATGATGGCTGCAGTAATCACAATAGGCTGATGTTTATTTCAAGAAAAAAGACAAAAGAAAGCACCTACTCCATATTTCTGCTCACCTCAAGGCAATGAGAAGACTTGTCAGGCAATGACTCATTGATGAAATCTTCTAGGGTTTTAGGTTGGCTTGCATGAGTGGGAGTCGGTGGGGTATAAGAGACAATGGAAGAGACATCAGCGTTTTTTCTCATCTGCTCTTTCTGAAGACGTCGCTCCTTCCTCAGGTCTTTGGCCTTACGACACAGCGGCCGGCTGGGATCAGCTCCCATCCCTGCAGCTCAGGGAAAAGAGCAAGGAGGGGGAGACGGTGCGAGTTATGGGGACTGTTACAAAAAACAGCAACCTTAATCTATTTTCATGCAAAAGACACGAAGAATGTGGAAAAAATACAGGCAGCTGTGAGAAATAACTCAATTACTCCTTTTGGACGCAGATGAAATGTTTTGCTTTCATGCTGCCTTCTGAACAAGACTTAACACAGGAGTGGGAAAGGTGGGAACTTCAAGCTGCCGGTATTGCTAAGTCTCAAATATGAGGCAGATTTTGTGAGCGTCAGACCGTGTTTCCGATTGTTTTTTCCCCAGCCCCTGAGGGCCAATGGGCTGCCATGTTTGCTTTAGTGTACCCCTGCCTAAGAAGCCAGTCTTGACAGAGAGCCCTATGGAAGTCATTTTCTTGTTTCCCTGCCTTAATACTCTTTACATTACATCATTGCTTAGGAGGCTATAACAACAACATGTTCTGTATTAGTTAGTCCAAGTGGTTAGCAGCTAGCTAGTATGTATTTATGAAGGAACATAAGATGCAGAATGAACCATGGGTGTGTGTTTTTTTTTATAAGAATGAAAAAAAGAATATCTTGGCTCCGTGATGTGAACACATGAATCAGTTGCTCTTTTCACAACTGCTGAGGCTGCTACTTACACAACAAACTCATACACTTACCCCCGTATTACTCTCTCAACAAGACTAACTTTAACATTCTCTGCAGCAACTCAATCTCTCCCCATTTCCCTCTCTCGGCCCCCCCTCCTTATCCTTCTGCTGTTTCTTCTCCTCCTCCTCCTCCTCCACCACCTCCTTCTGGGCTCTTGCCAAGGCCTCCAGCTCTCCGGGCATCCCATGTCAACAGTTTACACGCCCACATCCTGTTTGGAGCAATAAGGAAACGAGAGCCATTTCCTGCTTGTCCTATTGCCAGCCGCCATCAGCTTACATACTAACTTACCCCCTCTCCGTCAATGTCACGAGGAAGAGAGGGACGCCCAGGCCCGACGAGTGCTAAGAGAGAGTCTGGCACTGGTCGACGTTCACTAGGAGGGTTCGGCTTCAGCTGACTCAAGCTCAAGGTCATTTATATTCTAATGTAAAGGCTAATTCTATCTAAATAATAAATATAGACCACATCAGGAGCTGTGTGGAAATGCTGCCTTCTATCAAGAGTTCTCTGATCTGGGTCTCTGTATGACCAACAGTTGTGTTACTCCTGTGAACTGTTTGTTTCTGAGTCATTAGCATTGAGGATCCCATTAATGTGTATCTGTTTCTTGTATCATCATATTAAGATCTCTGCCAGCTGCAGTTGTCTTGAAAAGTAAATGAATGGAGGCACGACAGGAGGGAAGCATTTCTCGAATATAAACACACAACCCTGGGAGTTATAGCGTGGTCAAATGGTTTTCCTGTCAGAATAAACACAGCGAGGTCAAGAGCAACCAGAGTCTGGACTGTGTTCATCACACTGACTCAACCACAAACACATCAACCCTTATCCACCATCACTACGTCCACGTGGCTTCTCCCTATAATTACACACTCACAACACACACGCACTTTCTCTCTCTCAGACGCAGGTACTCCTGAGGACAGCGTACTCAGCGGAGGTGAAGATAAAGCCTTAACAGATCAGTTCCTGTGGAAGACAGATGCTCCCGCTCCAGCAGTTAGCACTTCATAAAAGCTATGACACTCCACCCCCCCCACAGCTTCCCCAAGCGCACATACAACTCAGAATCAGAGTAAACTGGATTGAATTGTGACATACTGCTTTATTGTGTGTAAACATGGAGAGCCACAAAATTAAATTACTGTGGGAGGAGGACGCCATTATCTGTGCCACTAAAATACTTCTATAATACTGCATCATTTAATGGGAACCTGTACTGGTTGCCACCTTGGGACAACTCTGCTTACGTAAAAACACACAACACACTTCCTACAAACCAATACATTCTGGGCCATCAGTCATAGATCAGATCTGGTATTAATATCCTGAGAGATCCGATAATAAGTGGACAGCGCTCATTAAAGAACAGTAAATATATCCTGAAGGTCACTAGTGATCGAATCTCACTTCCCCTCTCAACATGCAAATAAACCTTTGTGTCTGTGAAGACCAAATTCAACACATATTTGGGTGCGTTCACACCCGTAATTAGCAGTGATCGGATCACTGGGGATGGATGTTAATACCAGGTCTGAATGGTGTCATAATATTACCACATAAACTCATACCACAATCTGCACAGACACAGATATGAACACTGTCCTTTTATGGAGTTGCATTAAATCTTACCTGAGCAATTATTTCACTTGGCAATAAAGTAAAATTTATATTTCATATATATATAACAAAATAAGTCCCTCCAGGGCAATTCAAATTATTTCAGCCTGAGTTTTAGTATATAATATTTCCCTGGACTTGAACTCCTTTACTGCACCACTGTTTTCTATATTGATAAAGGGCACAATTTCAAAGTGTTATAAAAAAGTTAGTTTCTCTACTTGTGATTCTCCAAAGCAAACGCCTACACATGAAACCTTCTGAAACATAATGTTCCATATGCCCTTCTGTATCTGTTTACCTATGACTTTATGAAGGCTATACAGCAGATGGGAAACCAAGATTTCTCAAGCTAGAACTGGAACCTGCCCAAAGTCATAAAGAGCTTCGGCCATAAACCTACAGGAGAGATATGTCCAGGTGTTTTCTGTTGGAGGTGAATAAGCGGGGAGTGGAGGAACCACTGGCTCAGCGTAGTAAATCCTCCTTGCTTCCTCTTTGCTAGCTGGCTTGTTCTTTTTGACAGAGGGAGGAAGAGGAGTGTGGTGCTGACACAGACGTAAGGGTAGAAGGACACTGGCACTGTTCAAGTTTGTTTCTGTGTGTCTGCATCTGGATCAACCTGTACCAGCATTAAGCTTCCTGTTTCAATCCATGTAATTATCATTTGATTAATGAGTACGGGGCCTGTTCTTACTCTGAAAAAAATTTGGTGGAGGCATGAAACACGAACATTTGTTAGACGTGCGGCTTCCTGTCTAATGGGAGTTTATTATCTCTTCACTGTGATTGTTATTAATTCATTACTGTGAGTTGGCTCTGGGGATATCCTGTACAGAGTGTAAAGAGAGAGAACATGACCGATAAGCCCAAACCAGGCATGCTCCTGAAAACACTGAAGACACAGCAGCCTCATTCACCAAGCTGCTACACAGTGGGGTATATTAAAAAGTAGACAGTGACCCCCTCTGGCAAGCAATGGTACCTCAGTTCTAAAGGAAAAGCACAGTGGCCCCTTTACAATCGAATATAATGAACTTTCACTAAAGTGACAGCCAAGACATTTAAAGTCATCCACCTTCAGTTTGACAGAACACCAGACATCCTATATTTTACAAAAAAACAGCACCTGATAAGTTGGTAATAGGAGAGACAGCATGAAGTACAGCAGCCACACAGAGATGCCTTAATGAGTAGAAGACAGTGTGGAGTCAGGATGAGAGGTGACCAAAAGGTCCAAACTAAGGAGATTGTATTGTGTCTAATCAGCCTGCCCTTTAAAGCTGATAACCAGCCGTCATTCACAAGTCCTGTGTAAAATCCAGTTAGGTCAAATAGTAGCTACTCAGTTATGAGAACCTGACTTGTTCATTAATATCACACGATTTTGCCATATCATAATAATAAAAGTGCTTACATTAATTGCACTATTAAATCTAGATGATTGGACTAAATAAAAATCAACTAGCATTAAAATTGCCACCAAGATGGTATATGTAATGTGTGCATGTGTGATTATCAAAATACCTGCCTATATATATATATATATATATATGTTGTTGAAACTAAAGGTTGTACTACATGACCATATACATTAAGTGACAACAGAAAAAAGTTATTATGCTCTGTTGTTTATCTCACTGTGCTGCAAATCAGCAGTCATTTGAAAAGTGCTTTGTTTTCTGCCCCACCACACAGGTGCAGACAGGAAATTATTATGAGCAACACAAACATGGAAGAGAATGAACCTGACCCAGAATTAATTCATTCTGAACAGGAGAAGACTCCAAGTTCCTAAAATATGGACTAAAAGATTGTGTAACAATGATATGTATCAGCACCTGGAGGTGAAGTGACCTGTTTGGAGATTTTGTTTGTATTGCACAGCCCTTGATTGACTGATCGACTAATGATAGTAGTTCCACATTCATAGTTAATGTTCTTTATGAAAACAAAAAGCAAGCTGTTGATTTAATAAGAAAAAACAAGGACTCACTGAACGAAGAGATAAATACCACAAAAAAACAAGTAGCTAATTAATAATAAACTTAAGAACCTTTTTCCAATAACAGCAAGAACATATTCTCACCTGCTTTAGGAGCTGTAGCTGCTGTTCTTTCATCCAGGACAGACATGAGATCCTTCCTTGTGGTTTCTGGGCCTGTAGGTGCCGCATCCACTGCCTCCTTCTGAACTTCAGTGCCAGTGGGACACTCTGCGACTTCCTTCTGAATGTCTGTTATGGCAGCACACTTCACTTCTGCGTGACAGACCGTACTTGGTTCCTGTGGACGAGCTTCTTCACACACAGAATCCATTGGCTCAGCTACAAGGCACAAAATCAACATTGCTTACACTATTTGTGTTCTAGTACCAGCACTGTTGTGCTTTTGTGTCCAACTATAACTGTAGTTTCAAACTCTAAATCAAATGCTGACCGACAATCTGAGAGCGTGGACTACTGAATACCAATACAGAGAAAATCTTCATGCAATACAGACACCTTAATATCTATTTTAGATATATAAAAATACTCTCACCATCATCCTGTCCTGTTGGCAATTCTCCGTTGGAAATGAATTTGCTCATTTTCTTCAGGATTTTCTTGTGGGATTTGGAAGGCTGAAATTTCAGTGCATGACATCTTGACAGAGAGCACAAAAGGTCAATGTCTGGTTAGAAAAGCCTTTTTTCAAAGAGTAATATTCAACTCTTTACATCTACAATGGGTCATCTACATATGATCTTGACAGAGCTTAAGATAAGTGAAGCATGAATGACAGAAGGAATTTCTAATGTGTAAAACATCATTACCTGATGGTATACTGTGGACAGCATGTCTTGTTCATTATGGGCTTATACACGTATTTCCCACTTCTGAAAAGGAAGACGTGAACAGCAATGACATGAACAATGATTTGAACTATATGAATCAGAAATTTCATACAGATCCATGTCAGAATACAGGGACTGGTTGAAGCCAGGAGACAGACACTCACCTTCTCCATCCTCGATCTATCAGGTCTTGATAGTCTTGTACCGTCATGGTGTGAGACCACATCCCTGTAGAAAACAAAAAGAGTGTCACTGCTTGAAATCATTTGATTGATTTCTTGTAGTTGATACCTATGCTTGTGATGTGCCGCTGCTGGTGAGCATCTCTCACCTGCACTAACGCTCAAAATGAACAGGTAAAACCAAAAGATATTGTGATATTGTTTCATGGTTAAACTCTGATGCAAGTTAAATTCCACAAAAGGGACAAAAAAGCCTTGACTTGCACTTATAATAGATCTATGCAGGTGACAAAGAATACAGTCAATGAGACAGTATACAGTTTAGGGTTCCAGAACCTGGCATATGGATTCTGATAGAACAGCTCATAAAAACAAGCATGCATATAATAAGGCGTCATTTGTCTACAAGCTGCGTGAGAGTATCATAGAAAGTCCATATTGTCATTTCAAATTAAACCTCACTGTCCCTCTTAGTAAATTCCCACAGTGCATTAAGCCCCCTATGGAAACAAATATATTATTTGAAGCCACAGCAGCTTGGATCCTACTTCCCAGAACTGAGCTCTCTGTTTCAACTCTTGACCTTTTCCTCTGCAACTATATACACACAGTTTGCATGTGCACTCACACCAAATATAAAGGAGACAGCTATCAGTTTACATCTAAATCAACCCAGGGAACTGATTGTGTACCAGTTCACATAACACACACTAAGTTTGCAACTGAGTATAATGTTCCATGTCCCAGGAGACAGGTGATAGCCAGAGTCCACAGAGACAAGGCAACAACACAGTGTGATCCAACAGAGCGTCACCACACCACTGATGCAGGAAATTAATGGAGCTAGAGGCTTATACAGCAGAAACACAATGTGAGAGACAGATATTATCATTACTGCACCATTTGTACAGCTTTTAAATATGTGTATTTATAAATGTAAAAAAGCACCAGTTGGAAACACACATAGAATCATAATTATAAATAAAATATCTCAAAACAGATCTGTCATACACAGTGTTACTACAGATCATTGACAGTGGTGCAGCTACACTGAAAATGTATAAATTGGATGAACAGTATTTGCATCTAGTGTTGGGTGAGTTCTTCAATAAACTGAATAAACTGAAACAGAATAAACTGTATAAAATCACACTGAACCAAAAACGCACTTAAACTCATTTAGGTGAAATGTCAATTTGTTAAAAAAGTATGAGTGAGTGAGACTTGTAAACTTTAAAGCAAATCAAATGGTTAAACTTATAAAACAGGACATCCAAAAAATTTTCAAGAATTAGTATATTTGAGCCCAGTGCGTGTTTACTGAAAATTCAGAGAACTGGAAGTCAGAAGATTACAATAGTAAGAGTTCTAGAGAACAATTGAATTGAGCCGTGTGAGCTTAATGTGAGCAGAACAGCTGCCATCATCATGGTACAACACAAGCGCCTTTCCATCGTTCACACCTGATCCATTCTCCAGCCTCCACTGAGGCATGACAGACACAGGAACACAGAGAAGGGCAGATGTTGACCTCTGTATTGTGGACTCAACAGTGTTGATAACATCACAGCATCAGTCACATAAATGAGAGTGTTATCTTCCTGATCAGCTACTTGGAAAAATCTACAATACAACAAAACACACTGCTGATAGCAATCCTACGATCTACAGAGTGTAAATACAAGCACTTCAGCAATAACTTTAGATTTTATAGCAGAGGGAAATTGCTTGTTAGATATAACTTGATTATTTTCAAGCAGCGGTTTTAATTCTGACTCTAGTGTCCTGAAATGATGGATTACCAGTCTAGTCTAATTGAACCTCTAACCTGTGAACACTGTTTCTGACCATAAGAGTTAAACAGAGAGCAATCTCCCACCTTCCTAAGAACCTTCCATGTCCACATGATGTAACAGATTACCACTCTTATCTTAGATTAGACAACAGCTCTCGTCTGCTGGCTCCGAGCCCAATCGCTCATTGACTTCATCAGGACCTGCCTGAAGCCTAATAATAGTCAACCTGCTCCCTTGTCTGAATGGCACATTTCTGTCCAGCAAAGAAAACCTCTTTGCATCTTCTTACACAGATTTTTCATAGTCAAACTTTGGAAAATGCAGAGTTACATTAACCAAGTCTCTTAAACAACAGTCAGAACAAACCTAACTTGAGTCACATTGAAGTTCTCCTGAACTGTCTACTCCCACCATCAGTAGACACTTAACTTGCACTGCAGGTGGTTGTGTAGTGTGTCTCTCATTTGTGAACACATTCCTGAGAGTAATGTTCCTGACATTTTTGCAGGCCATAGAAACACTTCTCTGCATCAACGTCTTACATAGAGTAAATGTAAAGGAGGCTTGCTGGAATTTGTCCAAGCTTCCATAACTTTACATTAAATATGCAGTCCTACCACAGACAGTGGGAGGAGGGGCTCCTTCATGAGGTGTAGATAAACAAGACACAATACTCACAAATACATATCAGTGTTTTTCTCATTTCCTAAGAGTGCCAGCTGATAAACAGACCATTTTGTGATAAGAGTCATGTGTTTGCGCAAGTCAGGCATCCATTTGAGAAACTATCTGACAAAAAGATATGTAAACACAGTACTTTGTTGTTTACACTTCCCTTGAGAATCTGATTTAAAGGCATATCCTCTGTTCTACCCAACCACAGCACCAAAAGGCTTTTAAATCCAATAATTAGACAGTGTGATAATTAGAAGAGAATATGAACGACACACACTCACACACATGAAAGATAGTTTTGTAAATAAACCACGTCAGCTCAGAAAGTATGAGAAGTTCAGAAAGTATGAGAAGTTCATGTAGCTTCCGTGAGATAAAGTAAGCATCTGCTCAGAACCACACCACAGGCCTCTGATCCAGTGTCTCAGCTCAGGAGGGACATATGAGAGAGACTTCCGCATATTCATGTTAGGACACCAGCCTCGTTGTCCTGTGTGTAACACCACTCGTTAGCTAGCTTGGTGCTAACAGGGATGAACATATGTCTACTGCTAATTTACTAACATTGCAGCGTTCGTCGTGAGTAAAACATTGTGGCACAGATGAGCAACAGTTTATCTGCTTGTTTATCTTCGCTGGTTATTACATGTCAGTGTTGTCTTCCCCGGGGTTAGACAGTTGAGCTGAAAGATGCTAACGGCTAAAAACTTAGCTTGGGGAACAACCTCAAAATCTTCCATTGAACCTGAGGTTCACGCAGACTGACATGTGCTCTTACCATGTCCTCAACTGTCGGTACATTCGCTGTAACTTGTTGTGACATTAGCATCACAGAGCTAACATTTAACCAGCCCCCCCCCCCCTTTAAAAACCGGTCACTTGTGTCCAGCGAGTAGACGGAAGCTAGGTAGTTAGCATTAGCCAGATCTGTCCTGTTCCACGTTCCTCGGCCGCTTCATTCAGACACTTACCATGGGAGAAGTTTCCCTTTTCATTTTTGCAGTAACCACAGCGGTAGCCGTCGTCCCCGCCGAAATATTCTACTATAGTGTACGACTTGTTCGCTGCCATCTTTACTGTGGGACAGATGACAGCCAAGGTTCCCGGTGACCGGGCGCAAGTACTGCGGGCTGCAAAACCCGGCCCACTGCCTGACGTCACCAGTTAACAACACCCGGCCCTTTCATCTGTGCACGTCTCTGTTGTGAATGGTTTAGTAAGAATGAAGATGGAATGAACTCATAATGAAAGTGAATATTGAAAGTTATATGTGCAAGGATAGCAAATAGGTGAGAGTATCTGGTGCATGTTAGCAGTAAAGTGTATTTTAAAACTTGTTACCTTGATTGAAAAGGACCCAGGGTGTGCATACCCATTTGTCCCTTTACTAAAGTCACTAGATCCAGATTTTTATTAGAATCTGCACCAAATTACACACACTCATGTAATTACTCATATATTATTCTTGTTGTGCTATGCTGTGATTGTTTAATTTAATTTAACTGAATGGGTTCTTGCCTGACCTAAACCACCAACTTTCGCTGTGGTCTGCTCAATATTTTTGGCTAATCCTGCTAACTAACATACAAAAAACAAATGTGAGCAAAAAAAACCTTAGTGGGGGTAATAACTAAAGACAGCCAATACACTAAATGTGTTTGTAAACCTGGGGCATTCTGATTAAGGTTTTGAATAATAGATGAAACACAAAAACATGAGTTAAGAACTGTACAGCATATTTATTAAATCTGTGCAAAAAGAACAGCAAAATAAAACGGAACTGAGATCCTGCAACAAACAAGATCACCAAGGGAGAGTTTTCTTGTAGAAAAATAAGTTAGAAAATCACAGCTGGGGCAATGATTTATCTTTCTGCTACTATAAAAATGACCTTTCAAGTGAAAGAGCATTGTCTGCATGATTTGTTTCACCTGTCATACGTGTATGTGATAAAGTATGCCAATTATCTATACACAGATAATTGGCATACTTTATCACCTAATCACCAACATAATTTGATACATTTTGATAATGAACATAATAGCTGATGAAGCAGCAGCTGAAAAGATGAAGTGCTACTTGCAGACACACACCTTTATATAACTGTGTAAACCTCAGTTATCTCAACTCCTGAAGATTTGTTTGGACACCTAATTAAAACTCCCCTGGATGACGGGGATGTTTTCATGTAGGTATTTCATACTGCCTTGCTCAGAAAAGTCAGCCACAGTTTGCCCTTCCCCTCGAAGGATCCATTTGGTGGTCAGAAGCCCCTCCAAACCCACTGGACCTCTGGCATGTATCCGTGCCGTACTGATTCCAACTTCAGCTCCTGCAAAATATGTACAATAAAATGAATGCTTCTATCCTTATTTCAAGACAGTGGTACTTTAGGGCAATTTACGGGAGGATGTACAATTTATTCTTATATGTCGCTCAGATAACATTGAGAAGTAAAACCATGTCTGATGCTGTACATACCTAGACCGAAACGGTAACCATCAGCAAACCGAGAGCTGGCGTTCCAGAATACGCAGGCACTGTCCACCTGCTGCAGAAACTGTTGAGCTGTGTCCTCATTCTCCGTAACAATAACATCAGTGTGGGAGCTGCCGTACTTGTGGATGTGGTCCACAGCATCCTGCATGCTGTCTACCACCTCAATGCAGCACTCCAGCTCCCCATACTCTGTCCTCAGAGACTTCACCTCAGATGGGCTGAAAGTTAAATAGGACGCAAACTGGGGACCTGCATGGATCTTGACCTGAGTGAATAATAAACAAAATAATTACATTAGAAAACTTTACAGTTAATAAACAAAAACATTCCACCACATACTCTAATTCTAGGTGTAATATGTGTGCATGTGTAAGTTACGGAGGGTTTAAAGCTTCTTACATGTTCTGCTCTCAGCATATCAATGATCTGGTCAAATATAGGAGTTCGCAATAAATCTCTGTGAATGAGAAGCGTCTCCATGGCATTGCAGGCTGCAGGATAGTCACATTTGGAGTCTCTGACTAGAATGAAACAGAAGTTAGTAAATTAATTCAGCAGTTCTGGGTTACACAACCAAGCAAAATAAAAACGATAACAATTTTATGTGTGAACTCAGACAACTATTCGGTGTACATCTACAACCTGTAAAACACTGTGATCAAATTCTAAAGAAACACATACCAACATCAATGGCCTTGTCAATGCTGGCATCGTTGTCTATGTAGACATGACAGACGCCCTCGCTGTGGCCCAGCACAGGAATACCCTTCGCTGCCCTTTGGATTTCCCGGACCAGCTGGGACGAGCCCCTCGGTATGATCAGGTCAATCAACTTTTCAAGTCGGCACAGATCCTCAACTTCTTCACGTGTGCTCACCTGCATGTCACGGTAAATTCAAGACTTTTACACAAAATCTGACTTAATATTGAGATCATGTTACATAAAAACACCAGCTGTGTCTTAATCTGGGGACCGCATCCTTTGGAAACTGCATTTGAAGACTGATTGCATCCCAGCAGAGAGACTAGACTAGGCTCCTTCAAATGCGGTAGACAAATACTTCCTTCCCCGAGCAACTGAGGCTCTATCAGGTGGATCCTTCCTGGCCTAACCTGTCCCATGATTCACTGCGCTTCAGTAACAAAGAGTTTTTGAAAGAGGTAACAAGGTCAGCAGGTCAACTTTTTCATCCACAGCAGGGCGGGACAAGCTGGTGTCGCAAAAAGAAGACCAGACCAATGCAATCTACGCAGAAAATAAAGGATGCAGCAGACTGTGTAGACTAGGTCCTCAGAGGGATGCGGACCCTTAATTAAGACACAGCTCCTGTGTTTGTGTACTCTTATGCCTTCAGTTTTACCAATTGAATGGCATCGGTGACACCATGAATGGAAAGTGCTTCCTGGGTTAGTTGATGTAGAATTTTATTGGTGTTGAAAGCTTCTTTACCCCCCTTCAATAGCAAAGCATTTCCACTGGCAATAGCCAGAGCCGCCACCTGAAACACAATATTCAATTTGTGAAAATGTGAGTTTAAAGACTTAACGAGAGTTGAAAATAAAACATGTCTCCTAAACCAGCAGCTAATGATGATTAAGTGTTGTGCTTGACTCACCTGTGGGAGACAATCAGGGCGTGACTCAAAGATAACCAGCAGCACACCAATGGGGACAGTGATCTGTTCCAGCTCCAGGTTGTTGGCCACCCTGGTTCTCCTCAACACCCGACCCACACTGTCCCTGGAGGAGCCAGCAAGCTGACGGAGGCCAATGGCAAGGCTGTTTAGTTTAGCTGTTGACAGACTCAGGCGGTCGATCAGAGCCTGGGAGAAACGACCTACAAGGACAAACAAATAAAAACACTGTGGATGTGCATCTCCATCACTGTGGTTGATGTACAATTCACATATTTGATCATCTAGTACTGACGTTTAATAAGCCTCTCATTTATGCTATGTATTTTTGAGTTCTAAAAGCACTTGGCCATTATAAGTTCATAATGCAGTGTTCTGTAACTACAGCCGGTCTTGCCACTTCTAATTTGTTTGAATATGTAGCTCTTCTTTCTTTGACAATTTGCAGAAAATTGGACTTGAGACTTCACATGAGTTGGCCACTGGCCACATGGCCTGTTAATAATTAAGTATAAATATTATAAATTAGATTTTACCAATGCAAAGATGTTAGAAACAATTAGTTTATCCCAAATTGTATTTGGAGAACACTTGTTTTAACTGGGGCAACTGCATCATTAACTATGCTGCTGATTTGAAATGAAATGGTACATTTTACCATCCCTAACACAGACAACACATTACTCTATACAGAGGCATAGTAAACCATATGCATGCAGCGGAGGATTATGGTGATCATCGTCTCTTCTCTGTGACTCTGTACCTGATGTTGTTGCTAATTCCATGTCTTTCCTGTTGGCACTGAGAATCTCATCCTTCTTTTCTGTGAGCAGCTCAGAAAGATAGTAGATGATCTCTCCTCTCTGCAAAAACAAACATACATATCATTCTTATTATCTTCATACACTGAGGTATTTTAAAACTTCACTTTAAGACCACACTTGGGGATTAAAAACTTGCCTGTTCAGGAAGCAGAGAAGCCAGAGACCTTCCTGCATGTCGGGCCATCTCTGTCTGCTGCTCCACAGTTGGACCTAGTAGTGTCAATAACAGATGCATTAAATATGAAAACACAAAGACAATAAGTGGCTAAAATAAGAATTCACGGTGGTTTTACACACTACCTGCAGGCTTCACTTCTGAGAAGAAGGTACCAACTTTCTTCCCTTCCACAATGTCTGTAATGACGTGGCCGGTGACTTTAGGATTTGTGCCATTGGCAATGACAACAGACGTCCCACCCTGCAGTGCCCACAGGGCTGCTTTCACCTGAAAGAGACATCATTGAGAATAACTTTTTCATTGTTCGACAAACTCAGGCCTGTTTACACACAGAGATCAAATACTTTCTGTCATGCTAACCTTGGCTTCCATGCCACCAATGCCAACTCTGGACTTAGTGCCGTACTTGATTGACTGCTGGTCTCCAGGGTAAAAAATATCAATAAGCTTGGCATCATCTGTTCCTGGGGGACTGTCGTATAAACCTGTAGGATAGATTTTTCCCCCTTTTTAATCTTTCAGAGAACCAAAGAAGACATCAATATATTTTCATCAAGAAAAAGAGACCTGTCCAAGAAACCAGACAGTAAGTAAAGTAGAACAGTTTTACATCTTCTACAATATAAATATGTATGTATAAATCAATATAAATCCTTAGTGGTTATATCTGTACCTTCAACATCAGACAGGGCAATAAGGAGATCTGCTTTCATTTCAACAGCCAGCCGTGCAGCCAAGCTATCATTATCTTTGATGCTTATTACCTGTAAAACAAACAGAACTGTCAATGCACCAAAAGGAAAATCACTGTATCTCACATTCTCCTGTAGAATAACAGCTTATGAGCTGCTACCATGCGACAAAGGCCTCTCACTCCCAATCAGCTGCAAAAACAAACACCATATGTTGACACGTTCTTTTCAAAAGGAGGTAACACAAGTTTGTGCACGATACACATACAAAGTATCCATGAAAATGAAACTATGTCCCAGAAGCAAAATGTTAGTGAGGTTGGAAGTATAAGATGAAGAAAAACATATGCCTTAAATTATGCATGCTTAAAGCCTCTCACCATTACAATTCTGGGCCACATTTAGTGTTCCCTGCATGCCCTTCACACAGTACCTACATTTACGCCCTGTAGGTCACTGTTGGGAACTGGGGGTGGAACCACAGCATCATTGGTGTTTATGATAGGAACTATGTTCATCCGCAGCAGTTCATGGAGCGTGCTGTTCAGATTGCGACGTTTCTGCTCGTCATGGAAATCAAGATTGGTGACCAGAATCTGCAGAATTGTAAAAAAAAAATAAAAATAAGTTATTTTTACATAATTTGCTGTAAGCATTTTATTCTATGATAAAAGAGAAAACTGTTTTACATACTTGTGCAGTGCAGGTGCTGTACTGGGTGAACATAGCTTCATACAACGCCATCAGACCACTCTGCCCTGCAGCCGCACACGCCCTTGCCTCTAAAACTGGAATTGACTGAAAAACCAAGATATAGTTAAGATAACTTTAAGTTCATAAACAAAATAAAGAAATGCTTATCGAATATTTTGTGTTGTTATGCGACTATTATTCACCATTTCTTTGAGTTGGTTCTGTCCAGAATGCAAGGCTTGTCTGACACTTTGAGACAGCAGGATCTCATGTCTCAGTCTCTGCTTCCCAAACGCCACAGCACCGCTGGTGACGATCATCATCTCCCTGCCTTGATTCTGGAGCACAGCCACCTGAGAGGTCACACAGAAACAAGAACATTATATTTCGTTTTTCGAGGCCAAGATTACTCTTTAGACTAGGGATTTCTGTTTTTTTACATTTGGGGACTCCACATAAGTTCACACTTATAAAGCCCTCATCAGAAAAATGTTTTCTTTAACAATATTAAAGATTTAGCTGAAATGCCTCTTCCTTGACAAAAAAAATGCATTCAGAATACAGTGCTAGGTTGCAGGTTGGAAATACGCACACACTTGCAACAAAAATATCGTATAAAGTAGAGGTATAATGCCTCCACAGCACAGGTGTCTCAGCCAGTGGTTCAAACGGTGTGTGTGTGTGTGTGTGTGTGTGTGTGTGTGTGTGTGTGTGTGTGTGTGTGTGTGTGTGTGTGTGTGTGTGNTGTGTGTGTGTGTGTGTGTGTGTGTGTGTGTGTGTGTGTGTGTGGTGGTTTAGGGTTTAGATTTGGCATTGATTTGCAAATGTGCAGCTTTCCAGATTCTCACTCATGAGTGGTCGCTAGTGGAGGGGGCTGCCCACTGATAAGAGGGTGTTAACCATTTGAAACAAAGATAACTGTCATGATGTAGAGAAATCACAAATGTTTGACTCCATGTAAGCATTGGCCTTGCAAGTTCCAAGATAGTTTGAAACATTGGGTGGTATTATGAGCCACATTCAAAAATGTTGATTCTTTATAAATGTGGTAACAAATGTGATATTAAAACCAGCACTAATATATTTCATTAAAGAACAGTCACATAATTTAATTTAAAGCTCAAACATTTTGAGTGTGCAGTATCTGTTTAAGTGTAGCTTTACCTGCTCTACTATTGAGGCCAGTCGCCCCAGTGCCAGGCCGCACTCATCTCCGCGAGTCACCACAGCACTGCCCAGCTTCACGACGATGCGCTTGGCCTGCTTTAACTCACTGCGGTGCGCAAAAGACTTCCCATGGGGACGTGGAAGTGAGACTGCAGAAAATAATAACTGTCAGATTTGATATCACATCAGCATGCACCATTACAATATACATAGCAAAGAGGAGGTGAGAGTAGCATCCACTTCAGATTAGATGTTGGTAGGATACTTACATTTGGCTTTCGAATACGCTCTGATGGAGACATTTGACTGCCAGTTTCTGGAGGGCAGGCGAGAGCACAATGCCAGCCTAGCAAACATGACACTGACGGATGAGAGCAGCTGTGACCAACAAACAGAAGAAACTTTGTTAAGACAGAGTATATCAAGTTCAAGTTGTATTTGTCATATGCAAGTTAACACAGGGTCAACGGTACAATGAAAGGTGTTGGACAAGAACCCTGTCAGCTCAGCAGTGCAACAGTTAGAAGTCAAACACAACACAATACAAACTAAAGCTTTACACATTCACATGTGCAGTGTGACAATAGCAAATGAACTAACTTTAACTGTGTGGAGGTTGTATGAGTAGTTATTCTATGGATGACTGTCAATAAAAAGAGAAAAACATATGATCACAAATCACTCACGTTAGCATTATTCTGATCTCGCTGCTAAGCTTGGCATCATGGATCATAATGTTAAGCATTGTTCAGTGATGGTACTCGAACTTGTCACACTGACCCAGTTAAAATGCTGTTTGCACGAGTTAGCTTGTAAACATATGCTAGTACTATATGCTAGCACTATTCGCATACAAAAACCTCTGATGTCTGTAAAGCCAGTTAAGTTAGCAAGTTAGATAACACTGCTAACAGACTGTGGCTAGGTGTCTCGTGTTATTGCTGTCAAAAGATACATGTGGTTAGCTGGTGTTAGCTAGCGTTAGCAAACACGAGCTCCCTTGCTGCTTCGCTTCCCGGTTATTTCGGACAAAATTGACGTGATACAATTTTTAACATAATGACAACTTACCTGACAATGTGAAAATGTACACACAACCACCACAACCCCGCTGGTGAGAGCACTGCAGCGGACACGTAGTCAACCAGACCCGGCGAGACTGAGCTGCTGCTGCTGCTGCCACATCCACAGCCCACGTTGGTTGAGCTGAGCAAGAACTGAGCGATTCTGGAAGGACATGTACGTGGGATGTGTGGATACGTCCGCATAGAGAGGCGTCTTTTACATACAAAGCGTGGGGTCTTTACGTACGTAGAAAATAGTACCTTCGATCGGCGGACAATGGAGGAGCTGTGGGAAGTACAAGTACAAGGATAAGAGAGTGAATGCAGTATTACACTTGGAATCATAATGGAGGATTAAAGTTTCGTTTGTTTGTAAGTGAATTCAAGATTTAAGAAGTTTATTGTCATATACACAATAACAGACACAGCGGTTTATTATTGGGTAATGAAATTCTTATTTAGCAACTGCCCGACCAAAGAAAGTAAAAAGAAGA